GTTGTTTCTACGGAGGAAAAACCTTATTCAAAATCTTTAGGTAATTAGTCTGATGAATAAAAGGTTTCCAAAATAAATAGATATATTAGATTTGAATGGATCTTCATGCTATATGCATCAGTTCGTGGCCAGCGATGTGTTGCTTATTTCAGATAAATAATTTTTTTTAAAACATAGGTTCATCCTCGTATATTTATTTTTCATTATTCTTGAAACGTGGGAAACGTATGTTTTTCTTATTAATAATAGTAGATGTTGCTTTACAGATTAAAATTTATTCGCCAGTATTTGACAAGTAAGTATCTGTAAAAGCACTCAAAATGCTTTAAAATAATATTTTTTAAAAAAATTATTCTCCATTTTCCTTTTCAAGATAAAACAAGATTAATTTGTTTTAGTAAGCAAATTGAAATCAATCTTTTATGAAGGACGGGAGACAAACCGGCCTGAAAACGCAGATTCAGTGAGAGCACAAGGGGATTACTCTCAATGGACAAGGAACTCAAACAATTACAACATGCTTAGCACCAGAAGATTCAATGCAGATTCCAAAGTAAACGCATTAGACGAGGTAGACATCTACGATCATGTTGACGAAGGAATATTCAGCCACCATAGTACGCCTCAGGACAAGTACGATGCCATAGTTATCAGCAAGAACGCTGTGATGGCTGAATTGATTGCAATAAGGAAAATAGTCATGATAAAAGGAACGATGTTACGGATATCACAAGTGGTATATTTAGAGAATGCTATTCACTTGCTTTCAATCCGGACAATTCATCAGAATCTGCAATGGAGAATACGAAATGCACTTGAAATGCAGACAGGAAGACTAAAAAAATAAAATCATGATCATCTTATCTTGGTGCGAATTGAAGTGTTTCATATTCTGTTTTCATTAAAATGCTTCCTTAACCACAGATGTTTTCAATTACACATCTATATCTTAGGAAATTTAATTATCTTTCACACACAAACACACACACACACCCTCACACACACCTCTGTGATGCATACAGCTATAGAGATGCGTACCAAAATATTTACCAATCTCTGTTTGTCTCTCTCTTCACATAATCCCAGAGCCAGCAATTCCACTTGCTGTTTAGCGCGAATGGACGAGTCGTATGTCATGATGGTTCCCTCATTCTTCTGAAAAAAAACCCGCTGAAATAAATCCATTGAAACATAATTTTTAAAAGAATAGACGTCACATTATTTTATAATAATATCAAAAACAAATTAAATGTTTGAGTACTCAATTTATCGCTCTTTGCAATGAAAATTATGGTCAATCTCCTTAAAATTTGATCGTTGTGTTGATTTAAAAATCTGTTATGAAATATATGGGAAAAAAACAAGCAGTATTTGGGTTCCAAATTCCATGCAAACAATACAAATCAGGAGCAGAGCAAACACAGACCTTTAAAAAGGTGAAACCAGGTGCCATGGAGGAGTGAGCATCCTCTGCATACCGGTCACGTCATGCTCCTTGTCATGATCGGAAAAATTCGGTATTTAAATCAGTATGAAAAACTTCAGTTAACGTTGGTATTTTTCTTCTTCTTATATTGTATTTGCTGACAAGATCATCATAGAACTTACAAAATGATTACTTTAAATTAGATTGTTGATGCTCTTTTTTATCAACGTGTTTGTCAATAACTTACCTCGTTTTAGAAATCGTTTATATGTAGAGCATATTCTCAATGGACTTTTATTACGAGATGCACTGACTTTTACAGTTGACTGTTTACTTGGACATTATTCATTTATTGATTAAGTTTGAGGGCAACATGCGTTTTGTCGGACCCAAGAACCAAACTGTCCGCCTGAGGCTGTTAGGCCGAAGGCACACAGTTTTGTTCGAGTGTCGACAAAACGGATTTTGCCCGAGAATTCAGTCAATAAATGTTTTGTTATACCTTTCATTTCATTTCATTTTTTTTTACATACATGTATTTTGTATTGTCTTTTGTGCAAGTGGTGTCACATTAGGTTCGTCACATTTGAACGCCAACGAATGAAAATGATATTAAGCTCCGCCCGTTCCGTGACGTTAGCGGTCCAATATCTCACTCAGCGGTCCAACATTGATTTTTTATGCCTGCTCAACAAAACATTAGAAATGTTAGACTTTTTCAACCTTTCTTGTGGTCATAGTAATTGTGTTAGGGGCATTTATGTGCGAAGGCCTGGATTTAAGGATAGAATTGTTGTCCTTTTCTTCAAGGACAACTTATCTATGCATTGAAATAACCCGTTACTTTCGTTTAATTAAGGTCGAACTAAATATGTTTATCGTAAAAGAGCTTCCGTACATTGTCCTTACAATAAGCCGTCCACTGTAAAAGTCAGCTCTCCTCATAGAATCAACAGAGATATCAAGCAGGTTACAAAAACTAAAATAAAAAGTCGATAGTGGATATGAGAGAACGATAGTCTAGCCTTAATTCGTTATTATCCCAAGTATTAATTCCTTTTAATATCCACAAAATTTTCTTGCTAGGAGACAATTCTAGCTATTCGCAGCTTTGATATATTCCTTGTGCATAGTATTGAGAGAAAAAAAGCTAATGAGTGAACACGCCATTCATTGAAACTGACAAATGGGTATATATGTATTTTATTTATTGCATAAATTTATATAATAATGAAATTAAATGGCTGGGCTGAAAACAAAATATATAGTAAATGACAAATTGAAGAATATATAAATATTGCATGTAGTTGAGTGAAAATTTTCAATGTTACACTCAACTATACTACACATGTACATGCAAAATTTATTATATTACTAGTATACTGAATGTTTTATAGAATTGCATATTACAGTGAACTTTGCGCACATAAATTCTGCACAGTCAACAGTTTTTGGAATATCACCCGTCGTCAAGCAATGTTGAATTTTGTACATGCTCGTTGGTGGGTGCGGGTGGGTGTGTGTATTAGTGTTTTTTTAAAACAAATGTTTTTCGACGAATCAGGTTCAACCAGTTTACATGAAAATATAATTTACAAAACATGCTGACTATCCACATGACACAATTTTTAATTATAACAAAATAAGCCCAGTTAATAGAAGAAAGGTTAAGATCTCTGTATGAGCTTTGAAATTTATGTGGTCTCTCTTAATCTTTTCTCTACATTGTGGGAAGTTTCGAAGTGGTAATGGCATTAACGAAAAAAAAAAGTCATGATTTAAGGGTGAAAATTTACTTAGAAAATAAAAGCTTTTTGGACTATATAGATATGTATTTATATGTATGTAAGTAAGCATATCTATTATTGTTAATACATGTATTTACATGAAAATAATTTTTTGCCAGTGTGATAATAAAGTCTGTAATAAGTTTATAAGCTGTCTTGTTTTACAGTTATTCGTTATAAGTATGTTATGGTTTTTCTATAATTTCAGGATGAAAATAACTTTGAAAAAACAAACTGTGTAAATTAATTATCTTTCAAATTATTTCCAAATATTCATTTTATTGATCGTTGCATGAAGGACTTTTTCCGATTCCTTTGATTTTTGATTGTGAATCAACAGCTTCATAGTCTGCATTTGAATCCCCTCCTCTTTCACGAATAGGATTCGCATAAAACTGTGGTAAGAACATAGATCCAATGTACCTTGAGTTTCTTTGAGATTGCATTCTGAAGAAAAACAATGAAAATATTCGAATTTCTCTTTTGTGCAAAAAAAAAAAAAATGATGACAATCTGTTCATTGATCGATATGGAGACTTATTACTTTTGAGCTTTGAAATAATTAAACAGTCTATACATGTATCTAAATTCGAGCTCAATTTACGCATTAATCTTATGTGTTATTTCTATTTTGATTTTTATTTGTCAGGAACGAAGACATAATATTTAATATTCAAATACCGGTATATGAAATTCATGTAAGTTTGATTTCACAAGCTGTCTCCTTCAGATTATCATGCCTTTGACAGTGGAACTAAATAAGCCATGGCTCTGTCATTATGATCATGCTTACATGGTGTGTTGCGATGAAAAATCAGGATACGATCATATTCAACTCACCAGAGAATCAGAAACGTACTTTGGAATTCATTATGGGGGATGGGTCTTCACATACACAACTGTACCATTTGGTTGGAAGGCCTCTCCCTACATATATATCAAATGATTGGGATGCAAATCACGTAGTATCTTCGAGAGAAAGGTATTCATATGGTTCAGAACATTGATGACAGGCTCGCAGTGTGTCAGTAATATGACAAAAATGTTCAATCAGAAATTCAGGAACAAGCTTGTCCGTTACAAATGGTGAAACTTATTGTGACCGAATTAATAGCCTTAGGGTATACACTAGATATCAGAAAGTGCCAGCTTATCCCTACTACAGTAGTACGATACTTAGGTTTTCTAGTTAAGTCTACTAAACAGGCCTACTTATTTCCATTTGATAAAAAGGAAGCATTCATCAGAATAAGAGAGAGCATCTTGCAAACAAATGAAGTTGATTTAAAACAATTCAACGATTCGCCGAGAAATGTATATCCATAGCAATTGTTATACCAGGTGCCAAATTATATACAAGGGAGATGAATTTCGCGATATCACTGTGTATGAAGAAAAGTAAACAAACAATCATTTCTCGTGAGCTGCGACAAAATATCGAACACTGGAGATTTTTGGACGACTGGGAAGGCTTCGCGCCTTGGAGACAAGAAAATCATCTTCAAATGTCACTGTCATCGGACGCATCCTCTTTCCGCTATTGAATCTCCCTTGAGTCAGGCCAAGACAAGGGTCTATATTTTGGAGACTATTGGTCAAGCGAGGATGATCGACCGATTCATTTTAAGGAATCATCAGCTGTCGACATTGCCCTCCAGTCCTTAGCGATGAAAATCAAAGACCACAGATTAGACATTCATGTTGACAACACCGCAGTATTGCATGCTTGGGAAATTCAAAAGTCCCAGGACCGACAATTGGCTGACATAATGAAAAATATTTTCCGGACAGTTTGGAAACTGAATATTGACTTTAGATTGCACTACGTTCCCTCAGCAGAAAATGCAGCAGACGCTCCCTCTAGAACTATTTCTTACACTGATTGCATGCTACATCCCAAACATGGCTGAAGGTTGAGACTATGTTTGGACCAGTAGTTTGATGGCTACAGATACGAATGTTATGATGTCCAACTTTGGAGCACCGCTGAGACATTTCAATCAAAACCCTACTCCACGATCAGCGGCTGTTAATGTATTTGCACAAGATCTGTCAACTTAAGTGAGAAGCGCCCCTACGTGTTTCCCCCCAAAAGGCTACAAAGAAGATGAAAAACTTGGAAAAAAATGTACGACTTTTCTTATCGCAGTTATCAACCTCTCCGGACTTAACAAGTATGACGCCACAAGATGTTTGCCGATTTATGGTATGGAGTGATAGATTCGGGAAAACGCAGATACATGGAATTTCGTGTCCACCCTTGGGCACATTAGGTTTATTGGAATGCGCATGTCCAACTAGACTCGCAGCAGGAACTATTCATAATATGGTTCAACAGATATCTGAGATACTGTAAATACATGGAAGAACTCGATCATGGAATGTTCATACTAAGTCAGGAAATCCCTGCTTGTCCCCCGAAGGTAAAAAACTATACAAAACTCTGTAAAGAAGAACATGCAAAGTCCCATGTGTTACCTAAACAAGCCAAACCGATATTTTTAGGAAAGATAAAGAAAATGGCACTGTTTATTGAGAGAAAATTTGCTCGCCCTGAACTTTCTTTAAGGTATAAGTTTGTCTTAATTAGAAATCAAGCGATTTTCAAAATTCAGTTCTTTGCAGGGGATAGAATCAGCGATGTTTGCAA